TTTATCTCTGAAATCACTCAGCCTGGTCGGTCAAAGGACTACAAGCCCCCCAGTTATCAAGTATCGGTAAATTTTTAATTCTGAGCATTCACTGCAAGTGTTTTGAACTCTAATATGCCGTAGCTTGTAGCCTGTACCACTTTTAACGGCAGTTAAGGGAGACATTTTTTCAAGTAAAAATAAATGTTCATCAGTACTTATTACTTAGAGTTTTACTGTTATCCCACTGAAAGAAATGTTTTAGTAGTGGCCATGCATTTTTTTTTTATCACATGTGGTATTATGTACGCATTAACAGAGAATAAAAGTGAAAATCTTAATACTTTCTAAAACTTTGAAAGTTCCAGCTTTTATTTTTCCTCATCATTTTCCATTTTAAACCCTGATGGTCCAGCTTTTCCACCCATATCCTCCTTCACACCATGAAAGGCATCCATGAGATCACGTTACCTAGTGGCGCCCTGTGGCCTAGAGGGACGTCTCATCTTTGGGACTATGCAAATGTGGTAACGACGTCATTCTAACTCTTGCTTGACAACAGTGGACAGTTGTATACTAATGTCAATGGTGTGACAGTGTGAAACAGTATGTACCTCAGCGTTGGACAGTTCTAAATCAGCGGTGATTGGTACATTATCACCACTGAGAACAACTCTGGCTTTATTTCATAAAGTTAGTACTTTTTGTTATTTTTTTAGTTTGCATTTCCTTTTGCATTGTGTATTACATGTCTTTTAATTTTAATAATAACTTTATATAAATGATCATTGTGTGCTAATCCCAATAATGAATTTATTAAAGGTTGCTTATAGTCACTAGTTGGGACATCAGTAGAAACTTTTACTAGCCTTTCAAGATAAAGACAAAAATATAAGGATTTTCTATAGCTGTCGCATTTGTGATTCACTGAATAATTTCTAATGTGCCAGGTTTCTACCTCAGAGGTAGACATCTATCATTGTGTGCCATGAAAACTATGCCAGTCTTTTCTGTTACATTCTGTAGATGAGGAAACTGAGGCTTGGAGAAGAAAATCATTTGTGATTCATCCATTTGGTGATCCAGGTCCAGTTTGAACAGAGTCCTAGAACAGTGGCTCATGATATTCCACCTCCGTTATCCCATTCAGAGGAGTGTCTACAGTGATGGGAACCTGGCAGCGTGCAGGAGGACACGAAACCAAACCAAAATGGCAAGCGTATCAGTGAGATAGGCTGGGGCCTTGTCACAGAAACTTGAGAGTGCTTGCTTAATTTGCATTCCCCCCAACAGAGGATTTTTTTTCTATAGCATTAATAATTTGATTGAGGAAAAAGGATAACAGCAAATCAAATGTATAATATTTAACATCCCATAGGTGAGTATGTTTGAGATTTGCTAAACTCTCATTTAGCTGCTCTGTAGAAAAGATAACAAGTTGGACAGGCATTATATAAAAATGTAGATCTTCAAAATTCTGTATAGGAAGGTACCCTACAGTGGTAAGACAGACAAAGGAAAATAGGAGTGAGTCTTCCACAGAAAAATGTGACTATAAAACACAATCATGTTAACAGAAATTTTTAGCAGTGATTTTTAATCAGTATTTTATTAGACAGTAACTTGAAATTGTGGTACGTTTAAACAATGGAATAGTACTCAGCAATTAAAAACAAGGAAATCATGAAATTTGCAGGCAAATGGTGGGATCTAGAAAAGATCATCCTGAGTGAGGTATCCCAGAAGCAGAAAGACACACATGGTATACACTCACTTATATAGTGGATATTAAACATATAATATAGGATAAAGATACTAAAATCTGTACACCTAAAGAAGCTAAGCAAGAAGAGAACCCTGGGTAAGATGATCAATCCTTACTCTGAAACGCAAACAGGATGGAAATCGAAAGAGGGAGAAAACAGGAAATAGGACAGGAACCTACCACAGAGGGCCTCTGTAAGGCTTTACCCAGCAGTGTATCAAAGCAGATGCTGAGGCTCATAGCCAAACTGCGCAGAATGCAGGGAATCTTATGAAAGAAGGGGGAGATAGAAAGACCTGGAGGGGACAGGAGTTCCACATAGAGAGCAACAGAACCAAGAAATCTGGGCCCAAGAGTCTTTTCTGAGACTGATACACCAACCAAGGACCATTCATGGAGATAACCTAGAACCCCTGTACAGATGTAGCCCATGGTAGCTCAGTGTCCAAGTGGGTTCCCTAGTAAGGGGAACAGGGACTATCTCTGACATGAACTCAGTGGGTATCTCTTTGATCACCTCCCCCTGAAGGGGGAGCGGCATTGCCAGGCCACAGAGGAAGACAATGCAGCCAATCCTGATGAGACCTGATAGACTAGAGTTATATGGAAGGGGAGAGGGACCGCCCCTATCAGTAGACTTGGAGAGGGGAATGGGAGGAGAAGAGGGAGGAAGGGTGGGATTGGGAGGGAATGAGGGAAGGGGTTACAGCTGGGATACAAAGTGAACAAAGTGTAATTCATATAAAAAATAATAAAAAAAAACAGTAACCAGGTTAATACTCAATACCTTAAAATTTCATTTTGTCACTGTACCCCAGCAATATATTTTGAAATATGTTTGTTCACTACTCTTATCGAAGTAAGCCATACTTGCTAGATAGCCATGTGAAAACCAGATGCCAGGGCTGCTGAATCTATAGTCTACAGCCAAAAATTTAGAGACTATGTTGACCCAGAATAAATGCATTCTGGGATCTTCCTTCCATCACCATGTGTGTCTGTTTATGTGTTGTGACCATAAATAACTACGGGCTTATTTTGTCTTGTCCAGAGGAGGGGGAGGAATGTCCTCAATGGAGGCTACTCTGTGTGGGAAGAGGAAAAGGCTGATGCTTGTAGGCCCTTCAAAGGAATCTCCTTGAGCCTCATGCCAGATTTGGGAGGGCTGCTTATGCCTGACTAGTCCTGACACAAGGGTGATGTCATCCAAACAATGTCTAGCTCGGTGGGATGCCAGTTCCATTTTGTGGCTCCTGTGCCGTGTTAAGCTGTTCTTCTTCAGTTATAGCCCAGCTTATGATCTGAAGACCTGAGACACACCTTAGTTACACAAAAAGAGCACAGGAAGATCAATGCTCACCTCCAGCTCTCTAAACTTAAAGCTTTGGATTTCAGATTTAAATCTCTCCCTAAACAAATAGAGTGATGGTGAGTGGGGAAGAAAAGGAGGAGGGGGAGAAAGGAAGGAACAAGGGGGAAAAGGAAAGGAGAAGGAAAAAAAAGAGAAGGGAAAAGAGGAAGAGAGATTCTCTTGACCTTGAAGAGACTTGCTCTAGAGGACATATTCTTGGGAACATTTTATTTTATTTCTGCCAGTGAATAAGGCTCTCATGGAAAGACACTAATTTATCTGGCCTAGTTAGTATATTAAATTACACTATTTCATCCTCTAGTGGCTTGAAAAAGTTAATTTACCATCTGAATGTCGGGAATGCTAAATGCATATATCATGTCCTGGCCCTTTATAATTTCTCAACAAACAAACAGTGTCTTTTGCTTAGGTGTGCTTTCTTTTTTTATTAGCATTTACAGATGCCAGGATAGGAAAAGAGGCCGTGGTAAGAGGGCAAATGATGACTGTGGTGCCATCTCAGAGGGTATCTTGGTATAAGAGAGGGGGAAGATGCCAGGAAGAAAAATAGTCAGAGACATAGTGAATGAGTGCAGTGATTCTAAAACCCCTGCTGGCTTCCTCTTCTCTGCCCTTTGTATCATTGGTGCATGACTAATGTTCCTGAGGCCTGAGATGCTCTCAACTTCACCCTCCCACTGAGAAAGCCCCTCTCCAGGGCACTAAAGGGAAACTAGAATGGATGAATTTAAAAATCGAAGAGCCAATTTTCATTCTGCCAGATACGTTTGCTGCCTAAGGCTCTAAAATAATTAAGGTTGGTTTAGAAATAAAATATTACTTGCTTAATTTATATAATGGGATGTGAAAAAAAGGGGCAGATACCTGACTCACATTCCATAAGTTAAATAAAAATACATTTATTGTACGTTTGGATGTCAGAAATGCAGCTTCTGAAGGTAGGAGGTTTATATGTGTTGTTTTTACAAGATCAGTACATCAGTATGCAAGACCCAAACTTTCTGCTCACTTCAGAGGCAAATATGTTTATACTATAAGGTAAAACTGGAAGTTCTTTTCCTCCTTTTGAAAGCTGTTGAGTGTGTCTTCGGGTTCCAGAAAGTGCCTGAGGCAGAACAACTTCCTACAAGTAGGTATGATGCAGTAGGGATAAGGCATAAGGCTTGGCCATCACAAGAAAAGGAGAAAAAAAAATCTCATTTGGAAAGATCCAACTAGAATTAAGAGAGTAAATAAATGAAAAATGGTGGATAAATAAAATATAAATGACGTTCTTTTATTTATCTGTTTACTTAGTTGATTTTTTTAGCAAGCTAGTTTCTGAGCTAAAATTGTGCTGTGTGGGCCAGGCTGACGCTGAGAACTTGCTATCCTTCTGCTGGGATTACAGGCACAGCCAGCTGATACATGAAATTTCTAAAGTAGATCGTGGTAAGCTAAAAAACCCGAATAATTAATAAATTAATAGAAGACACTGAAAACTGAGACACTACCTTTAAGAGTGCTACCCACAATGACCCTTGAAAAACTGTGTTAACTGTCAAACGCCCGAGTTTGTTGGGGGTTTTCTTTTTCTTCTCTTTTCTTCTGTGAGCTTGGCTCTTGTCTCCTTGGCTCTAGCCCTGAGCCAGAAGGAGTGTTTCAGAAATGGTTGGCTCTGGATTTTTCCCTCAGAGGACTCATGAGTTGAGGCCACATTCTACCACTCTTCTGGGCCAAGTTTACCTTGTTTACTCTTCCAGTGGGAGAGAAATAAACAGTCAGGTGCGTCCCAGCAGGGGGAGTGGGTGAGCTGGCTTCATGGCCCTCTGAGTATGTCCTCGCATGAGGGAGGGTATGGGTGTGGGGCAGCTGGGTGGGAGCAGCAGCGTGCAGTGCAGGCTACCAGCACCGACTGGTGTGCCTCTCCGGGGGTGTGTGCAAAGGCTCCAGGATAAATAGGAGGCTCCCAGCTCTCGGGCAACGCTGGAGCCCTCTGGCTGCCCGCCCCGGGTGTTTCCCTGCCCTGTAGCCAGGCTGCCTGCTGCTTAAGTTTCGCTTCCTCCTGGCTCAGGGATTAGTTTCCAAGCACCCTCTCGGTGCCGGTGGCCCGGGAAGGGAACGAAGAAGGAGCAGGGAGACTCGTCCAGGGGCTGTCCTGCCCAGCACAGCAGGGTTGATGGACTCGGCCGTCCCGGGCAGCAGTGTCAGCAACCTGCCGCTGTTCCTGGCCCTTGCCCTGGGTAAGTGTCCATTACGAGAGAGCTACAGATCAGGAGGAAAGACAGGGTGCTGGAGTCGGGTGAACCTTGATTGGAAGAGTGAAAAAACGAAGAAGTTAAGGTCCCGCCTTTGGCTTGCACCTGCTGGAGGCTTCCCTGGGTGCGCGCAAGGCCGGGTGGCGGTAAGACCCTGCTGGCCCACTGGGCTGAGGCTCAGGTGGCATGGCCAGCATGGAGTGCCAGGAGCAGAGGAGGGAGGTGCTGGCAGAGACACAGGAGGTGCTCAGCAGAAGGTGGGTGAGGTGGGAGGAGAACCCCAAAGGCAGAAGCAGGGAATCTGCACTGAAAAGGATACCAGCAGGAGGCAGAGGAGGGAACTCCTTTCATGTATGGGCTGGAGAGCAACATGCCCCTCTCTCTCTCTCTCTCTCTCTCTCTCTCTCTCTCTCTCTCTGTGTGACTCTGTCTCTCTCTGTGTGTCTGTCTGTCTCTGTCTCTCTCTCTCTCCGTGTTCCTGTTTTCCAGGAATGTGTGAGAGACAGGGCTGCTGTTGAGGCTAACAGCGGTTTAGGGATCATTATACACACATATGTTTCTCTTTCTCCTTTTTCTTTCTTCCATTTGAGAGTAGCTGGAGCTGGGAGGGAAAAGCGCCTCTTTTGAGATGTTTATGTGGCTCTCCCACTTAGGAAGAGGAATCAAAGAGAAATGAAAAAAGTACCAAACTGCCTCACTTGGGACCTGTTGTTTCCTATTTGAAGAAGTCACCAAAGGGAATATTTCTCTTCATTTGGAAAGTTATGGCCAGTAGGTTGAGAACCGCTGGATGTGACATCCACAGGAGAGAAGAGTGGAGAGGCCGGCCCCCAGGGGCCAGTGCTCAGGAAGGAGAGCTGGAGCTTTAGGTGGCATCCGCCCTCTGGGGAGGGGATGAGAGGACAGCCTACTGGGAAAGCCCAACCATCTCAAGACCTCTGCTTCCAGGTCCCTGAGGGCTCTGGAAGGGAAGGGTGTTTTCTAGCCTTAGATGGAATCTAAGGAGGATGGAGACATTGGGAGAGATGTCACTGTGCTATCACATGTTCTTTTCTTTTCAAACCTGTGAAAAGGGGTGAGGTTGTCTTTCACGGTGGAAAAACAGATTAATACAAGTGCAAATTTCATCTGGCTGTGTCTCCAGAATGGGAAAGTAAGATAAAGTGGTTGTCAACCTGCTGGCAGGTGGATTGAATGTGAGACCCAGGTTCAAGAGGAAGGACTGGCTCAGCCTGCAGTGGAAGCAGCCCATATTAGTCTAGCATAGAGAGATGTGGACCAGGAACAGTGACGCACCAGAGAAGAAGGTGTAGAGGAAGCACTGGTGTCATCATTAGCATCGCTTGAATGCAACCGGCCCTGCCATCCTCTACTTGTTAGGATAGCCAAACCCTTCATTGTGCTACAGTGAACAAGATGCTAAAATGTATAGGAAGTGCCAGAAGAGTGTTCAAGAGACTCTTAGATGTGATTCCCGCACTTACATTGAGTTAGGAATGCTAACATCGAGCTTATGTTGAGTTGGGAATGCCAGACTGGTAATACAAAACCATTAGGGAGAAGTTCAGATGAGCAGAGAAGGGAGAACTCCACGGTGAATATGGAATGGCGAGGAGCTGCAGAGAGGATATGTGGGTTCTTAGAGGACCTGAAAGAGGAGAGGAAGTCAGGGTAAGAGTAGATAAGGCAAAGACATTCATCAGAGGGAGGCTGATTCAGTGGTAATTCTGTATTGAAAAAAAAAAGTAATTAGATTGAGATAAAACATAAACAGATTTCAACGAACCAAAAAGACAAGTCAAATTAAAATATTTGATCAGAAATCAATAAGCAGTTAAGCAGGCTCAATTACAAGTCATGAACGGAGGGTGTAAACAATGAATCAGATAAAGCTGGCATTAGGGTGCAGTGTGGGAGGAGAAGGGACAATGGGCTAAATGGCTTGATTGTCTTGAGAGTATGAGTTAAGCATGAGCTATGTTTCTGAGCCAGAAGGAGAGTCAGGAAAGAAATGATCTTTCAGGGCTGATAGACATTCCCCCCTTTCCTATCACAGTCTAGTCCATATCCTCAGCATGTCAAAAGGAAAAAAGAAATCTCTAAGCCGGTGATACAGTACACCCACGGAAACCTAAATGAGCATCCTTCTTGATGACTGATGCCTTAGGAGACTGGACCATCTCTAGATCCCTATATGCCTGCAAAGCGCCAAAGGATGTAATTTGTTGGCATCACTGTTTCCATTAAGTGTTCCTACTTCTATCACACAGACACACACAAAGTCCCATTCCTAATTTGAACCATATGTTATTTTATTTTTGCAATGTGATGTGCTGTGATATCACGTGTGACAGTGGAAAGAACACTGTCCCTGAGCAGATGGGACACCTGGTTCCACTCCGCTCCTCTGTGACTCGGATACCTGTAAGTTACACATTTCTTGACATTGCTTTCCTCAGTTTAAAATGAGGAGGTGCTATGTTTCCATCCTCACATTCTTCACCCAAAAATAAGCAAAGTAACATATGATCAGTTAGGAATAACACATGTGTTTTAAGTGTAGATACATTTACACTTAAAGGACAGTGGGCAGTCAGTAGATTGTACAAGGTTATTATCATTCTGATATACAGAAAAACTCTGTGATGTTCCCTTTAGGAATTTTATGAAGGAAAAACTGAGTTGGGGATGGAATAAAAGAGGTATAACACAAAACAATTAGTTTTATATAGTACACAAAAATTGAACACATTATAAATCTGTATGTGTAAATACGTATTATATATGTACTTAGTATCCTTTATACACATCGATTTGGTTTTATTTTACTAAAACTATCCCAGCTCATTTTTATAGAGTCCGTGGAAATCTTGGCTTTGGTTTCTTCTCTGTATTCTCTTGTTTTTCAAATTCAGCTCTTAATAAACATCTAAATCCAGTGGTTGAAAGGGGCACCATTCAAGTAGAGACATTGAATACTGACTTTAAAAAAATATATTTATGTACTTTACATCCCAAATGCACCCCCTTCCTTCTCTTTTCCTGGTCCTACTTCCTTCCCTCTTTGCCCTCTCCCCTCTGTACTGTCTTCCCCTGCCCCCTTGTATTGTGTTTGAGAAATGAGCCTGATGGGATTAGTCCCATCTTTTAGAATTACAGGAGATAAGATGTTGTCAGACTTATGTCCTGTATAATTCTTTGAATGGCAAGGAAGCCAACCCATGAGTTCTCACTTGCCAAAAAAAAAAAGGAAACACCCTGAAGTGATTTCCTGCCAGACCCTGTTTGCATTTGCTCACTATGTAAAGGCAGGCCATGAGAACCTAAGCGAGACTCTTGCTAACCTCAGTGCTCACACGTCAAACTGAAGAGGAAAGTCATCTGACTGAAAAGAGTATGCTTGCTAAGGCTAATGACTGTGTGTTAGGAAAAAAAAAATCTCAGCAGCTTAGGTGAGTCTTTAGTGATGAGAATTTAAAGAAATAAAGAGAACATTTTCTTAGATGGTTGGACAGAGATGGGGTATTTAATCAGAATTTATATCAATTAAGCAGTCATCTACTTTGATTATCTGCTGTTCAAGTCAACTGACCATGAAATACCTTCGTTAATTCTTTACATTTTTGAAGGGTATGTAGATTGTTATTTACTGATCTGTGGGCTGGCTGCTGAACTACAGAATGAGTTTGCCAAGTGCGGCAGTGTTCACATTTAATTTTATGTTTGAAAGTGTGGCATGAATCGTGTCAAGGAATGACTTGCTAATAGAACATTTTCATCTTTTCAAAATTCTGAGTTTATTATTTAGCCTTATTTGCTCGTGATGGGTTGAATAAAGGGTGCCTGACATAAAACAGGAGTTCAAAATAATTAGTTAAATGTGCTCACAGCTGTTGGGAAGCATGCATCCATTAAAAAGACAACAAGCTGAATAAATCTTTTGATTTTATGTTGCAAAACAGTGGCCTGGAGGTCAGAGATGCTGAAGGACACACGTCTTCATCCCTTGCTGTGTGGGCCTTGTGCTGCAGGTGTAAAAGAGCCTTCAATCATTTCTTCTAGTTCGTGTTGAAGATTCACACTTACTCTATGTGTCTTATAGGTTTAGTTCCAGGGAAGATTCGATTGGCTAAAAAAAAAAAAATCTTTTAAAAAGAAGTGTTTGGAGATTTGCAATATACCTTGATGTCCAGCATGTTCGAGGCCCTGGGTTGAATATCTAACATCAAGGAAAGAAAAAGAAGTGATTCTGTGGGGTAGGGAATGACAGTGGGCTTAAGACAGTCTCCTGTGGTTCATCAAAAGAGTTCTTTGAATGTCAGATAATTTATTTCTTGTTTGACTAGAGCAGTGATTTTCACCAGTAGTGAGTCATAAAATTGTTATATTCATGTGATAGTCAATAGAAGAAAAATTAACAAAATACAGCTTTGGTAGCCTTTGTGGACACTGAAATAGATTTGCTTTCGAGGCTACAGCTCTTGGTCTTGCTAGTGCTGGAGAATTCTTCATTTATTCTATATCACACACTAAGACAGTAGAGGCAGCAATAGCCTCGTTTTAAGCACAGGACATGCAATCCTTTATCCTCTCTTCTTTGGAGAAACTTCATGGTCCAAGCTTGTCCAGAGAAGGAGTGGATCCAGGACAGAACCACCAGAAGTGAGACTAAAGGACGATCACAGAGCAGAATGAAGACATTTGGGAGGACTTGGACTTCACTTCCTCCTGTGTACCTTCTTAGTGCTCTGCCGCCTGGGCTTCTGGTGGACACGGCATGAGGCTGTGTGCTTAGATCTCTGCTTGGCCTTTAGCATGGAATTGCAACATGGCTACTCTTTACACCTTGGGGGGGGTCTTTATAAAAATCATCTCTACACCTAGTATCTCATCTGGTCTTCAGCAAAAAAGTGATAGCACACCAGTATTGCTGTACAGGACAGGCGCTGGTCTAAAAGACCGTTAACTTATAAAAGTTAATCTAT